TAATTGAGAAGAATTTTGCTACCTTTCTATAGCATCAAGAAATGGTTAGATATTCTAGTCTTCTCGGATAGGGACGAATAAATGGAGGTCCCGTCTCCTGTAGGGTTAAGGGAAGGAGACGTTAATTTCCCACGCACGAGATTACTGTGTGATGGATGTCCTCCCCTGGGGTGGGATGAGTGGGTTTACTGGGCCCGCAGTAATTTGGCGCAAGCTGTTGCGCTGTCCCTGCCGGTTGGCGAAGCGATCAAATAAATAAAATGAATAAATAAATAAATTTTCACTTGATTTTTAAAAGTAGTCCGAGATCGTTTTGGTTTTGTATTAATTCAGTCTGTGATTGGTTTACATAACTCGCGCTATCCTCCTAACTAATCCGACGCATAACGAAAACCAATCGTGACTTGGTCGCCCTTGGATGGTAATGATGAAGTAACACTTTGTTATGTTTGGCCGGTGTGATAAGCTTGTTTTTGGTTTTTCGCCAATCAATTCAAAACTACTCAAATTTATACGGTACATCACTTACAGCTCAAAGAGATTAGCCCAGTCCGGGAGAAAAAGGGCGTGAGAAAGACCAGCACCGTGCATTCCAATAAATAGATCTGTGTTGTGGCTCCGCTAAACACACACAGGAAAAATTATAAAGAGAGAGAAGTTGTTATTGCTAGCACGAGTACTTCTTTTATTTCAAACAACAAATTTGTGTAAGTGTCATTTATGTTTGTATTCATTGGAAGGAAAAAAAATGCTCCTGACAAAGACGCAGGTAATGAAATTACATTTCTGGTCAAATGTTTTTATAGGGAAAAATATGTTGTATTGATACAAACAAATTAACAAACCAACAACAGGTAAAAGCCAACAAACCAACCAACAAGTAAACATTTATGTTCACAATTAAACATCATGAAAACTTACTTTTAGTTGTTCAATGAAAGGGATATCCCTGAAAAAAAAGGGAAGGTGAATGTGCTCAGCAAAAAAGAGTAGTTTCCGAGACAATATTTCATTCTGTAAGTTGCTATGCTTTTAATGGTCTCCTTCACTGAAAGTTTCAACTTCCAAAACTCCCTTGCAGTATAGACAGTACACTTTCCCTTCATTTTAAAGCAAGAATGTAAAACAACAATTTCTAAGATGTGATCTTTTGTTTTCAAACTCATGCAGCTGAATTTGTTTGGCTTAGTATTGAGTTTTATTTTAATTTACAGTGAAACCGAAGAATTGGAACCAGATAATTATGTAAAATCAAGAGAAAAAAAAAAGCACCAACAAATCACACAATTGAGTAATACCAAGAATATTTTGAAACATTCAGCTTCACTCCAGGGTATGTATCCAAAGCATGAGTAATCTACCAAAACAAAGAGTATGAATTCAAATTAAAAAAAAAAATTATTGACAACACTGCACTCTTTCAGAGTCACATTTCTATATTTCATAAGCAAATCTACCTTTAAAATAACTTTGAGCTATACCCTCTCAAATATGCAATTTGGACAATGAATAGAGGGAAAAATGATTTTTTTTCAGTCAGACATACATGAAAACAGAAAATCCAAGTGCTTTAGATAGAAATGAAACCTATCACCATGTAACTACTGTCACCAAGACCTACCACTGTTTTGCATTTAAAATTCTTAAAGCAGGACATACATGGATGTAGCAATCTAAAATCCATAAAATACTTTCCTTTGGGATAAAAACCTAACAACTGGCTACCTCTGTTAATTAATCATAAAAGTCCATAAATCCAAAAGTAAAGGAAAAGAAAATTAAAGTCACCTCATTCTCATTCAAGATTTTTCTAAACTTTGTCCCTCTGGATAGCAATGTTATACGAATTGGTTCACTGCTGTTCTGAAAATAAAGATACTTATCTAGAATCACCTTGAAATATATCAATTTTTTAGTATTACAATCAGTCGGTCTAAGTAAGTCTTATGAGCCTAGTGTCTCATTATTGCGGGAGCTTAAAACTCTTGTGTCTAAAGTATGAAGCATCGACAGAAGGGTAATATCGATTGGCTGTTGGCCCATCAGAGGCAGCCCTGACAGTTGGGTGGTGACCATGCAAAGATGCACTGTGAGAGTGCCAGCTGCAGCCTAAGATTGTAACACAATTTGAACCATGCAGGGTTTGAACATTGATCATGAACTGACATGACCAGTGGGCGGAGACCAGCATACAATTGGTCAGATGGTAAACCATGCAAACTTAAGACATGTAAATGTATAAAGTGCAAAATAACAACATACATGTAATTTGGTTTTATCAACTGAGTTTATAATATAAATTGGCCATTTTGCTCTGATGAAGGGCTAATTCTCGAAATGTCAGCTTAGAAACTCATTACAGTGGCCAATTTACATTTATCAACTCAGTTAATAAAGTCAAATTATATTTGAACAGTTGTTATACTGCCCCACTGACACGTACAGCACCTCAGTTTCTTTAGAAACAAATTACACCATTTATTAATGAGCAAAATATGCTTGCACAAAATCAAACACCAACAAAAAGATCACATTATGGTGCAAAGTACTTCTTATACCTGTTAGAAATATTCAGTAATAACACTGAAGTGCAGTTGTAAAACACAGTTTTCACCTGCAAGTTCCGCTCCTGGATGATGCCAAGTCTTCCCATGACATGTTCAGAAAATGCTTTGAAAAGACCACTTTTAGAACAACCTGGAGTCTGGAAAAATTGAAGACTGCTTTATTATTATTTGTAGAACTGAAACAACTGGTCAAAGAGGACTCTGCATTTAAATAAAATTCGGAGCAAGGGCTCGACAATTACTGTCAGTAGCCAACTAGCCACAGACTAATAGAAATTCAGTTTTGGCTGGTGGTTTTCGATTTCCACCGGCCAGTTTGGCTAGTAGACAAACTGAAATTATTGTAACATCTAAGCTGTCACTAGGAACTTGGCTAGTAAGTTTAAAAGTTAGTGTCAAGCCCTGAGAGCTAGTAGATCCTCGATAACTGGTCTCTCTACCCTATAAAAACAAGGCAAACTTTAGCTTACTCATGTTTGGTTCCAAGGCTTAGCAGCAATAAGCATTTGATAGTGAAATAGACTGTTGTAAGTTCCAATGTAACATAAAAAGAACACATAGTATTAAACACCTGAAGAAGAAGAAAAAAACTCACCAGAGGTGTGTTGTAGTACAGTCCAAACACCATTCTTGGCAGAAGGGCAAAGATGGCTTCTTTAAAACACACCTATACAGACACAAATTAAAGTAAATATTAAAAAACACATGTGTCACAGGAATACTCAGGTAAACTTCTAATAGTTATAATTATAGCAAATGAAATTATAATAAAAAAAATTACCCTCTTGTTTTCATATTCCTTTCCAAGATAGAGGACAGGGTGTGATGTAAACACTTTCCATGTTACTCCAAAGTTCCCCAAACTTCGTCTTGCATGCTAGATAAAAAAAAAATCAATTTCCAAAGAAATAAGGTGACAACTTGAGTACAGACAAAAGATGTAGGACAGGAGGAAACTAAGGAACATTTCCATTTACTATGAAACTGAGAAAACTGTGAAGCATGTCAAGAAAACAAAACTAAACTGTAATATAAGCAGTAAAGGCAATTGGTCTGTGGTTAATGGTGGTTTAAATGCAATTGCATGGTCCGAAAAAATAAGAAAGGGTCAAAATGTTGAAGGTGTCAATGGCTCTCTGAGTATGGCTGTCATAACACTGACTTTAATTTCTTATCAAAGATACTGATGATTTGAAAGGTTTTTTTGCACTTACAGCTTAACAAAACATGCATAGTAAAGGAAAAAGCATCTCTGTATAAGTACATAATTAGCTGCATAGTTTAACTGCCTACACTTATATTCTCTACATCCTTTAGCTTTACTTTGCACGATGATGATACCCTGTGAAATGATAGCTCTGACTAATGCACCCAAAACCTAGTGAAACCATTAATCCTTGAATGGAATATAGCACTGTTGGATGCAGTTAAACCTCTGTTAAGCAGTCACACACAGGAATAGTAGGGTGACCTGACAGTACAGGTTGATCGCTAAATACAAATCAGAAGATTATACAGGTCAAATACTATAAAAAAAAAGCCATTTTGTCCTAACAGTCCTATAAAGAAAGATAATCTGCAATACATTCTGGACAATTTAACTCAAAGTGCTATTATAATTTACTGACTTTAGGAGAGTAAACATGGAATAAATTTGACTGAGAAATTATTCTTTTTGCTATTTGAGTGGTTTGGCTTATATTTTAAGTAACTGTTCAGTACATGTGGGAGGTAACTCCTTCATAATGGTGAATTAAATTACAGCATTTAGGGGAAAAAAGTTTGGAACTCCTACAACAGAATGCTAATTAATACAGGGTCACTGCTTCATACAGTGCTGCTTTAATGCTTGCATATGATTTAAGTATGATGAAAAACTCACTAGATATCTACAAACCTTTTCCCACAGTACAATATTAACATCAGTGTCAAAGGATCCATTTACATGTTGAGTGAGGTACAAGTTGAAAAAGTCGCAGAAATGATGGTACATGTTTACAACTGCAATGAAAATATATCATATTTATTTAATAACATATTAATACACAAGGGGATTTTGTTGTAATGTGATTATAGCAAAATCACAAATTGAATATAAATATATGTTAAATACATAGAGAAAAGACTGATCTCTTTTCTTATTTCTTTTTTATGTTTATAATGCCATTTAAGATTATGACATTGTGTCCCAAAATCAGTGAAAGGTTCCGGCAATTCTGCTTTTTTACAAAAAGATCAACTCTCCTAATTGAAAAGAGCAGAAAAATTATCTTTCTGCATTTATTTTTCATAGAACAACTTGCAAAATTGTTACCTTTTTTGTTAATGCTAGTCGATTAGGTGAGAAGTTAAAAAAAGGTACCTTTTTAGAGAAAAAAAATGCGGGTATTTTAAGCTTTTGAAGGGAAATATTTTAACGTCAATATTGTCCGCTTTTCATCCATTTCTTACTTTATTAAACGAAACTTTAAAGCGCGAAAAGGGTACCTTTTTTTCAATTTGAAGCGATCTCTTCAAAAGCGCGAAAAAGATACCTTTTTTGCTGTTTAGAAACGTTCCTATCAAAAGAGCAAAAAAGGTACCTTTTTTGCGGTTGGAAGCGATGTTCTCATAAGTGCGAAAAAGGTACCTTTAAAAATAAACAGCATTTTCAAACTATATTTGAAAGCCGTTTTAAATTCTACTCATTGACAGATGTCAACCTTTTAGCACCATTTGTTTTGCTTGAATTGACTGACCCACTTGTCAAGAGACTAATATGGCAGAATATATGGAAAGCAATGTCACTTTAATAAGGAATCTCCTTGAAGACAATAAAACGTACAAACATGTCAGTAAAATTCTCACACAAAACTTTCCAGAAGTAACAAGAGGCTTTTCAGAAAGAAACGTGCGATTGTTTTGTGCTAAATATGGGATAAAACGACTAAACGAATACGAAGTAGATTCCATCGTTCAGGA